CCAACAAACAATTACTTGCCATGACTAAAAGAGACGAGATAAGTGATCAATCAAATTCTAAGATGAAGTCTACAGGGGGCAATCCTCCCGTTTGTGCAGTTAGCTAAGGTACACAAGTATGAGAAACCGATACGACCAGTACTATCACTTCCGGGCAGCTCGTATAAAAGTATTAAAAAAAGGTTTGCAAAGTCTTACCGACAACATCAATGGAGCCATTTAGGAACCAATATTAAAGATGCCAGAGAAACAATAGAAAACATTGCTCTAGATCCGGATGAAACCGTGAATTCTCTTGGAGTGAAAGCTTATAAACTAATGTCCACCTGATGAAACCAAATGAGGTTGCCTCACAGAAGCTGTACAGCCAGAAGTCTCCTCCTGAATTGAGTAAACAACCATGAAAAGGCTTTTGAAATTGGCGGTCAGCAAAATATATTTCAGGTAAAATGATTTATGGTATTTGCAAATTTAGTGTCTAGCAATGGGCACTTCCCTCGATGTCATTCTTCCAAACCTATGGCTGGAAGGGTACGAAATTGCTCTAAAACAAGAAATGTCGGCGGGAACGGAGATACAGCCAATGAATTACAAGAACGGTTTGTGCCCATACTGCAGCAGCAAAGTAACATACAGATCAAAGGGGACTTAATGCGAGAGTTGTTGAAACTTGTATCATCTTAAATGCGGGAAAAAATCCGATGTTGTATACGCATCAAAAACCGCGATACTCTGGTTTTGCTTAAACTGCTGCAGCGCTGAAACAAGGAGAAAGATAATTCACATGTAAAATTGTTCCTCAGGTATGCGGATGATTTTGTCAGAACACTTGAAGATGAAAAGATTTGTGCTTCTCGATGCCGCCAATTCTTTTCATCCAAATCTGCCGTTCACTCTAGAGGAAGGGGAATGGGCCGTTCTTGGTTTTGAACTTAAACGTAGAGGTGCTACCTACAATTGGTATCAAAAACCAACAGATAGCTGGACTATATCGAACTATAGAAGCTGCGCCCAACTCAGTACAAGCGTAGTGTTATCCAAGACATTGTACATAGTGTTTTTAGGATTACATCTAACTGCGAGCAATTTGATAAGGCTATGGAAACTAATAGGGCGCAATGGCTGACAAATCAGTACCCTGAAAAATGGTCCAAAAGAGTGGCGAAGACGTTCTGTGCAAAATCATTGATGGTCAAGGCAAGTCCCTGGAGAATGAGAGGAGTTCTTCAACTCAATCACCAAAGGATGTGAAGCAACCACTGCTAATATTGCATTATAGCGGTAACTAAAGCCAAAATTGCGAAAGCAGGATGCGAATTTTGACCAACGTGCAAAAGGTTTTCACCACAAAGAAATTAGCATTTCTGCGTTTTCTAAGGGTCTTAAAAGAGAAGTGGTTTATAAACTGTCATGCAGTTGTGCCAATCGGTCTCATTTGGTGTTTTGAATTCGATTTGGAAGTTTGGTCTTAGTTTCGGGGATAAAATTAGTACTTTCAAAAATTCAAACCGACTCTGTCATGCTCAAGTTTCTCAGGAATAAATTAGATCATAAGACTCGAATGCGAGTTGCGACAAAGTCGATCAAAAATCTCACTAGAGTGAAATTGCTATTTGCACTTTCACAGAAAACCATCAATTCGAGTTGTAGAGCTGTTTTGTTCCCGACAGAAAACATCGACAGTTCAAACGGGAATGCAATCGCTGGGTGAGGGAGAATTTTGATTGGGAAGGCAGACAAGCGCAGCTGCCCAATGGTCCAAAAGATTAATTTACTTGAGTTAAAATTTCTCATTACGAAAAACTTCTAGAGTTGCATAACATATTTTACTTAACTATTTCTAGAGTCGCGTGATTACCTAATTTACTTTCTCGAATGCGTTTTTTGAGATTGTGTTGAGATAAGGCGAGTTTTAGGTTGATCCATCTGAAGCGGTATTACGATTTTGTGATTTCATGTCCTACGCGAACTGAATTGGCTCCGACTGAATGCGATATTGAAGCACAAGAGATAGTGTCTCTGACCCTTGAGCAATGGTTATAAGGCCGCCTTTTTTTTCTTAACCTCAAGGTGACATAAGTAGACGACTGGTACAAGTGGATGCGTTTCCACCTATGTCGAAGAAACTGTTCGACGTTTGACCACTGAAATTGAGGAACATATGGAAGCAGACTCAACATTAGGCCTCCACCTTCAGCAAGGCAGTCTTGAGAGAAGTAGCTCAGATGTTAGTTGCGATTTTGTAGATCTGTCGAACAACTAAACAAGAATTTCAACACTAGAGGCACTGAAGATCAGGAAAGAGAAACCGGGCTTGAACACGAGCGTTGAGTTTAGGAGCAGGGAGTTAACACTGAAAATTTTGTCACAAATTACTTCCACTTTCTTCTTTGGAAATGTACCTGTATAAGTTGAAATTATGACTCAGAAACTTCCACACATTTTAATCAAAAAATTTTTTGATTAGTTTTAGTGATAAAAAGTATTTAAATCTAATTAGTTACTTTAGAGGTCAACTCTGATTGGCTAATTTTGTAACATGATTTTTTTAACCAAAATTTTTTTGTTCATTCTTGTGAAGAACATTTGTGAATTGTTGTTTTTCAGTCATTTCATTTGATTATTCTAGGTTATATATTTGCATTTTGTCGTTTTCACAATAGCGGTTACAAAGAGCAGCTCCGCCCGGTGCGTACCCACGTATCCGCATTCACGGATAGCCGAAAACACTAATTATCTCCGGTTTGAACTATGGTAATTAAAGCAATTCGTCACAAAATTCGATTGGCCGACAAAAATTCTGTAACTTTCGCAGACCAGTAGCCACAATAACTGCGAATAAATTAAAGAGATTTGATTGGTTAATACGATTATTTCATTGAATAAATTAACAACAACTTTTTAACGCATAATTCTTTTTTAATTTCATTTGTTAAGCATTTATTTAAAGGGATTCAAGTAAATTAGAACAAAGTTATGAAATGAAAACAGATAAGATAACATCAGATCAACTCATTGAACTAATTGATATCGTTAACGCTCAATTGATATTCCAAAAATAATGAGCAATATTTCCGAAAATACTTTTATTTCTAATAGTAATTTTTCCATTATAACAAATAGTAAATTTTATTTTCAACCTAGCTCACATCCCAACCATCACAATTTAATAACAGACGGCTTCTTTTCCGGAAAAATAAATCAATTGAAAATTATATTTACTTTATTTTTTCCGAAAAAACTTGCAAAACCCGTGTAACCTTAGAGTCATATTTGACCCGGATTATTTCGCTACTGTATCTGAATCTTTCCGAGCCAGCCAATCAGCAACTGAAAAAAAGTAATTCATAAAAAAGTAATTGAAGAAATGAAAAAAAAGTCCTGTGTAAACAATGAAAATGACGTACGAAAAAACAACCGAAAAATACAATCACGAGATAATAGTTCCATTCAATAGTTTGCGATCATCTCTTTCTCGCGCACGAAAATAACTTTTGCCGGCAATTCCACACAGCATTCAGGTTGTAAAATTTCCACCAGAATGGGCGGAAACTTCTTCGGTAAAACAATTCTTCCTTTCAAATGATACGAAAAATGGCGTGACAATATTTTCGACGAAAAAGTTTATGAAACGGCTAGCTTCCTGTGAGACTATTTTATGTGTCGGTACATTCAGTGTTGCGCCAGACCCGTACTTTCAAAGTCAAACAATTTTTGGTGAATTTGAAAATCGCAAGATTCCACTAGTGTTTGCTCTTCTTAATGGGAAGACAAGCGACCATTACAAAAATATGCTTGAAATTTTTAAAGAAAAAAATGGAAAAAATCGACAAAATTTTCAAACCAGATAATATTGTATCTTATTGCGAAAGTGTATTTAAAGCAGCTATGGCAGAAGTTTTTCCAGAAAGTCGCTATATTGGCTGCTCTTTTCATTTTACACAAGCACTTATCAAAAAGCTTAATGTAGTAGTAGTAGTAGTATAAGACTTTAATTGTTTAATAAAGAAGCCTACAGATTCAATCAAAAGTTCAAAAAGTAAATGAGAAAAATTTTCGCCCTAGAGTTTTGCCAGTAGTTTTAGTTCGAAATTGTTATCGAACTTTTGTGAACTCGCCCAAGTTTCTGGCTTTGAAAACTCAGTATCCAGAACTGCAGGAATTTACAATATTTTGAAAGGATTTGGCTGGATTTTTTTCCGATCAAGTTCTGGAATGTTTTTGATAGAGAACCAAACTTCCAAACCACTAATTGCTGTGAGGGCTGGAATATCGGTGGAATAAAAAATTAGAAAGATAATGTACGATTTGGATTACGATTAAGCAAATAAAAACTGAAGAATTTTTAGCGAAAGAAGCAATTAAAATGTTCTAATCGGGTCTTGACCCACCGAGACAATTCAAACAATTAAAAAGAGTGAATGGCCAAATAACAGCACTGAAACTGTATTTTCAAAAAAGAAATCGTAATATAAAGGACTATTGGTCTGGTGTTTCAGTGGTTTCTGCTTGTTATAACTTTTTAATATTCGACATAATAATCCATTATTGTAATATTCGATGTAATAGTAAATTATTGTAATAGTAATCTAATTTAGTAATACGAACAATGGTTTTAAGGCTAAGCGTGATTTGACTTTTTTCGGCTGTCCGGGAACAAATTTTTTTTCGGCTGTCCGGGAACGAATTTTTTTTTGGCTATCCGGGAACGAATTTTTTTTCGGCTATCCTGGAACTAATTTTTTTCGGCTATCCGGTAACGAATTTTTTCTCGGTTATCCGGGAACGATTTTTTTTCGGCTATCGGGGAACGATTTTTTTCGGCTATCAGGAACGAAACTTTTTTTTCGGCTATCCGGGAACGAAACTTTTTTTCGGCTATCCGGGTATTCAGCTCCGTGACATGCCACCCTTCGCCCCTCCGTAATTTTAATCTACCTACGTTTTACTTTCAATGCGGCTCAAAGTTTGATCATGACGTTATTTTGGTTTTCAGGAATTGAATGCCAGTTGCAATCTTGTAAATACTGTTTTGCAATCGAAATGGCAAATCTGATGAGTTCAATTGCCGATGTTATTTACTTTGATAACAATGCTACGACTCCGTTAGCTCCCGAGGTTTGTCATGCTATCAACACAGCATGCGTCAATGCTTTTGCAAATCCCAGCAGTGCTTCAGTTATTGGAAAGGCTGCCAAAAAGTTAATAATTGAATCCAGATCAGAAATTGCACAAATGATAAATGCGGATTTTACTGATATCATTTTTACTTCTGGAGGAACTGAGTCGAATAATTGGGTCGTATATTCAGCGATCAAATATTATTACTCCAAAATGTCCGAAAAGGTTTCTCCGAATGATTTCAAATCTGTTCCTCTACCTCATATTGTCACGACAGAAGTTGAGCATGACGCTATGATTGAACCTATCCAAAAACTTGTCGAAGAAGGTAAAGCACAGGCGTCTTTTATTGCAGTTGATCCCAAAACGGGTTCGATTGACCTTGAAGATGTACTCAGAGTTCTAAAAGAGGTAGCTGACAGCTATTTATTATTTTTTTTTAAATGTAAATCAGAAGGTCAAATTATGATAACGGAAGTTACTTCACTAACTCATCAGAAAAAAGTAAATTAAAATGGGCCCTTCCATCATGCGACGGTACGTGCACAGGTTGGATAGGGCCGTACCAACGCTATATAAATACATCGGCAAAATTTTATGAATTTATAAATAAATCAAGTCGATATTAAAGCATCAAGAGAATTGTCAATTAAAATCTACCCTCCTCGATTATAGCATAGATAGAATTGTCTATATTTGATGTATTTTTAAGTTTTTTTGCACCCCCTAAGGCAGAGGATTGCACTCCTCAGAAGCGCATAACTTATTTTTGTACTTGTAAAATTTATTTTGTCCGAGTATGATTCGTTCCGTTTTTCGCTTAGTTTCTCTGCTAGTTTCTGGATGGTTTTTGTAGAGCCTGGTGCTGCTCCTCCTACGCAAAAATTAGGGGAACAAAGCTGCTGTGTTCCACATCCAGAACTCTTTGTTGGTATTTTATTGTTTTGACACTCTCATGATATTTGTTGGCGCCAGATATAGTTTTAGGATTTAGCATGGGGGTTGAAAATTTTTACATCGAAAAAGTTTCGGCTGAATCGGCCTCCCCAGAGTCCATTTGCCTTGATGTCAAGTCGAGCGTCATGTTCAGTAGTGGTTGTTTTGTTGTGAAACCTTTCGCCTTCCAACGATTGAAGTCTCGTCTCTATTTCAACATCATGGCATACTTCGTCCAGGAGTGTTGCAAAGGTATCGCGAATTTCCTTGTGCCTTAGGTGAGTGTATCCACCTTTGGGACAGTGAAGAGAGTGGGTCAGTGTAAGTGGTTGTCCACATGGATATGTGTATGGGGTGTTTGGTGGTTCCCTTCCATATCTCAGATGTAATCCATCTTTGTTGAGGGAAAAATTGTTTTTTTTTTATGGGTAGCACGGTTAACCAGTTCGATGCTCATTTCTGTGACGCTAGATTTATTGTCAGATTTTTTCTGATGAGCAGTTTTCCATAATTTTAGCCTTTTTTTGAGAGTGTGATGTTCTGTCTCTCAGTTTTGATGTTTCTATTTATCAGAGTTTGTTCCTTTCCAGCTATTTCTGGATCACAAATGGCTCGTGACCACTCATAATTTCTGGAAAAATCCGTGTTACTCAGGAGGTCTAATCCTCCCATTTTGAGTGGTAGTGCAAAAAGGTTGCGATCTTCATCGATTATATGGTTTTTTTACCAGCAATACTAGTAAGTAGCTGCTGTCTTACGTTTTTCTCAATTTCATCATATTTTTAAAATGCTTCAGTTGTTCTGGTTAGAAAGCTTGATTTATTTCGAACTCCCTTTGTGCAGCAGGAGTACACATTTTTGTGATGTTTTAGCAATTTCGAAAAGCTTTTCAGGTAGGGTAGCTGTCTTTTCAATTTCGCTTTCCATGTATTTATCGCATGCTGATGGTGTTCCTATAACCGATCCAAGGACTCTAAAACCGTCTACCATTGTACTATTTGTGCTTCGAATACTTTTATGGCGCTGTCGCGGCAGTTTGACTTTACTATGAGTTGACACTTGGAAGGCTTATATAATATAATATAATATAATTTAATATAATATAATATAATACAATACAATATAATATAATATAAAAAAATATAATATAGTATAATATAATATGATATAATATAAAATAATATAATATAAAATAATATAATATAATACAAAATAATATAAAATAATGTAATATAATATAATATAAAATAATATAAACCAATATAATATAAAATAATATAATATAATATAAAAAAATATAACATAATATAATATAATATAATATATTATAATATAATATAATATAATATAATATAATATAATATAATATAATATAAAGAAATGTAATATAATAGAATATAAATTGAGATAATATAATATAAAATAATATAATATAATTTAATATAATTTATTACAATATAAAATAAAATAAGAGAAAATAATAAAATATAATATAATATAAAATATTATTATATAAAATAATATAATACAATATAATATAATATATCATAGTATAATATAAAATAATATAATATATTATAATATAATATAATTTGGTATAATATAATTCAAAATAATCTAAATAATATAAGATAATATAATATAAAATAATATAAAATAATATAATATAATATAATATAATTTTTTAAAATATAAAATAAAATTATATAATATAAATTAAAGTAATATAAAATAACATAATATACTATAATATAAAATATATATATTGTATCCGAATGCCTTTCCGTGCAAATCCAGGTTGTCCAGTATTGCGCGGAGATTCTTAAGATCACTCGCAGCTGTTCCATCATCTGCGTACCATTTTTGGGTTACATTTGATTTTTGCAGGAGCTCAATCAGTGGGCTTATCCCAATTATGAATATAGCCATTGCGAGGGGACCCCTTGCGTTGTTTTGAGGGATGTTCATATTAGTTGGCCAGTGCATGATGTAGTGCCAGACAAAGGAATTCTACATTTTTTAGAGCAAGTTCTGTTTTGAGCGAGTTGAAGGCATCTTCTGCATCAATAGGTAGTGTGGCATCCGTTTCCGGTTTCTCAAACTCGTTCCTCAAGCTGTGTATAGCATTATCGATTTCACACTTCTGGCGTAAGCAGAGTTGGAAATTTTTTTGCGAGATTTTCAAGGTCTGATTTTATACAGGGTGATTGTTTTCCAATTATTCTTCTCAGAACTTCGCCTATACCAATGATCCGTACCCCTGGATTTTTGTCCAGAGGTATCAGGCGACACTAGTTTTTTATGGGTGATAACTTTAGTTGCTATTGTATAGGATAGTTAAGCAATTGTTTTGCAAAGCTCAATGGATGTCTGGTTGAAGTGAGTTAGTATCCTTGCTTCCATAAAATTGTGTTTCGTAATTCGATCCGTTTGTTTCTGATTTAGTTTTGGGGAGCAGCAGATGTGGGAGAATCATTGCTGCTTTCATTGAGACCTTAGAATTTGGTGTTTCTTCTAATGACAACAGCTGCTTGTTCAGTGAATCTATGAATTGGAAACCGGGCTTGTTCTTGCTTAGAGCTTTGAAGCGCGGTTTCCAGTTAACGACTTTATTTATTTATGTCGTCGTTTATTTTAATTCCAAATTTTTGGTCGATAAGTTTCCAGGGGTTGTAGTGATTGCTGGAGGCAGTAAGTTTGTTTCAGGTGATGCCGGTGATATTTCTTTTTGAGTTGTGATCGGGGCTGAGCTTGTTGGTCTGTTGGTGGAGTATGGCCCTTTTGCAAAGTTCTCGGGGGTGCATTGTATGCAGGAGAACCCATCGTAATAAAGTTTGCTGATCTGTAGCCCACTACATGAGACATGGATGTAAGCTTTGCAAATGACACACCATATGCCTCCTTTTCGGAGGTGGCGTTTGCAAATATGGCAGTGCGTTTGAGCGGCCATAATTTGGCATAAGGAGGGTAAATTTATGGTGAATATATACAAGTTAGCTGAGCGAGCAATAAACTGAAAATTTTATTACCATAAAAAAATGAAAACCATCTTTAGAAAACATATTAGCACCAAACGTAACGTTCAGATTGGGGGAAAGAATTCGGGTTCTTGAGTGGTAAAATGTATTAATAAGGCGAAACAAGTATCAAGTTATTTAGAGCACCAAGTTTTCTGTTTATGAAGTGATTATTTGCAGATAAGATGGTTTTGGGGATAATTAGCACATTTGGGTTAAACTTTTGAATTATCAAATTTATTAAAAATATCCAATCATTAGCAAAGTCTGAAACCGTAGATGAGTTATCATTAAATCCGGCTACTATAGTAACACAATTCAGTTTCTGCAAGGGGTGGTTCGAAACAGTAGCGCAAAATTCGGCTAGCTTTGCTCTTCTGTACGAGTGAACGGTGGCTTCCACATCTTTGTGTACATAAACAGAAAACTTGGTGCTCTATTAGTTTATCATAACAATCATATCACCCAGTCAAAAAACCATTGGAGTTTCATAAATAAGGGAAAAGAAAAGAGTAACGTGAATTAAAGTGAAGAGTCAGATGGTTGAAAATCAAGACAAGAGAATCAGAACGAGAAAACCGACACCTGCATAGAATAATCGGAAAGATTGGCCTATCATGATAAGGCTACGGGTCTATCAGACTGTTATACTAAGCTGCACTTTCTTTCCCTTGGCTCTACAAATAAATAAATTTCTTCGAAATTGTTTTTATAATTAACCGTTGCGAGTACGCATGCAGTGTTTGCAACCTGTATTGTGAGGATGGATCGCCGCTTAAGAAAACTATCGGCCCTGGGTTCCTCGGTACATGTGCACAAGTTCTTGCAGAGCTTAAACAGAAAAATCTCAATGCTAAAGCCGGCGGCACCCTTCCCTGGGTTCATCGGTACATGTGCACAAGTTCTTGCAGAGCTCACTTGGAAAAATCTTTATGCTGGGGCCGGCGGCAACTTCAAAGCTGTTGGTTGAAAATTATCCATCATTAATTAAATATCTATATCCACCATTAATTAAATATCTATATTTGTCAGTGTTGCGATCTTTCGCCTCGGCCGCCGTCGTTCCGGGATAACAAATGAAGCCTTCGCCTAATTTTTTTTGGGGCTAGGGAGTCAACAACTGTTACATTTCACAGAAGCTGCCTACCACCACCCCATGTGACAAGCGCTAAACCGTCTGGCCGCTTCTGATGTCCTGTGGAGTTGTCGTGGCTCTTAAACAGAGGAAATGTGAGTGGAGGCAAAACTTTGCTATATAAGGGCGGCATTCAAGGTTGAATGCCCAAAATCTCAGGCCACGCCATCCATCTTCGGTTAGATCGTTTCCGCTAACACAAATATAATCATAAATTTTTATTCTAGGTGGAGTCCAATAGCAATTCTAAGCTGCATATTTGTCAATTTTAATCGAGTTTTTTTCCACGGGATGACACTCAACTGTTGCGATCAGAAATTGTCCTGGTAAGCATTGAACCGTTTTCCATCGGTAAGTTTTTGTTTCAGATTCATTTGCGAAATTTAGATATCAAAATTTGGCTCATTCCAATGTTTTGGACTTCGTTTTCCGTCCAAAGTTTTGATGCATCGTTGTATCTTCCCTTTACGTGCTCCAAATCAAAAGTTAGACTGAAGGTAGTTTTTGCTCCTACTGTTGAGGCCGAGAAAGCATGTAAAGCTAGAAGGCGAGCGGAAGAAACAACTAAGCCACTTTTGGCTGCCGTGAGAACGTTTTGCAAAATTTGGCTATCATTCACTTTTACATTTGTTACCTTACATGAAGAAGTTCCCAAAATTCGATCGCATCTTTCCAAAAAATCAATTGGCGATCGACCTATAATTGTATTTTACTATGTATTCATTGTCTCTCCTAAAAGAGATAGCTCAATTTTTTGTGTGATTAGGCTTAAGTGTAGTTATTCCAATGTCTCTTTGTTTTTAAGGTCCCGGAGAAGTTTCTCATAATTGTCGGCTAGATATCCATCATCTAAAAGCCAAACGTTTATTTTAGATTCAAGCGATTAACGAGCGTTTGTTTTGTTTCCTCAATCAGTGGTTGAGCCTCAGGGTCACTCTGTTGTATTGCGTTGCCCACCATAATGATTGAATTTTCGTTAAAATGTAACTTGGTTTATTGTAGGTGCAATGAGTTCATTTGTACAACTCCGGGCGGTTATAAAAACTTGATTCAGCATAGTTTCTCTATTAAGCAAATTAAATTCATTCCTAACCATAGTTTCAGAGAAATAGTACTTCGGGTTGTCATTACTCTCTATCAAGTTTCTAAAGGAGTGTGCAGTAGTTTCAGCCTCCGTGTAGTACCACAACCACCGTGAAAACACCACATGCTTCCTGTGCGTTTAGACGCGATGAATCTGAGCGTGTTGCCGATGGCCATCCGTTGCAGATCTTCATCTATTTTTGCTCCTGACCCATTTGGATAAGACATGATTGCTTTGTACACCTCGAACTAACTCAGAGAAAGCTATCGACGTTTCCCGGGTTTGGGGCATTTAAATCAGTTCTTTTTAGGTGCTGTGAAATATATTTTTTTCAAGTTTTAGGATTCGAAAAAGGTGCGATCTTGTCATACGAAGCGGCCAGCCTTATTCTTTCTTTTGTATTTCCCTCATCGAGTTTGCTGCCAATTAGCTTCATTCTCTGCTCGATATCTGTCTAAGAAGGGCTTGACCCATGGGGGAAGGGGCTCAGGTAGTGAAACAACCTTGACTCTATTTTTTTCAGAGCTCATAACTGTCGCTTGCTTCAGACCACTGGTTTTAGATTGTTCTTGAAAATTAAGAAAAATGTCAGAAAACCAGCCAAGTAACATTTTCTACATTGTAGAAAAAATCATTCATTTCATCTGAAAGACTTTCCGTCAAGGGATCATGCGAGTCCTTTGTTACTATGTATTTTATTATTATCTAGCTCTACGTCATTACCAAGTAAAAACTTTTCGACAGATTTAACATAAGCGCTTTAAGGAAATTGGTTGGAACAACAATCACATCTAATCCAATTTAAGGGTTCTCGAGGTTTTAAGCATTATTTGTTTGTACATTCCTTGTTGTTTCTCCTCATCTTGACGGCGCCGACGTAAAGTAGAAAAGAAAATTTGACTGAATGATTCAACCCATAGTAAAAAGGTTGGAATTTTATAGATGAAGAAAAAATTGTATCAAAAAAATATCAACTCTATAAAGTCACAATGAGGGACCAATCTCACCCAAGCTCAGAAACTCCAACGCCGCACCAACAAACTAACCATGCCAGGACCTCCCCCCGTCCAGCTGATGAGAGACCCACTTGACAGACCTGTCTCTGAAATCCTTTAAATGGTGCTCGTCAAACAGGCACAACCATCAAACATATCACATCTATTTAATAAATTTATCACCGCATTTAGTATTCTGTCGGACAGCTATTTGAATTTGCGAAGTATTTTTCTGAAAGTTTTGAAAACATTTTTTTTTCGTACCAAATTAAAACGTCTGAATTTCTTTAGGAAACCGTTCTCGTGTCTGTTATGCTGAGCAACAATGAAACGGGTGCGATCTTCCCTGTCGCAGAGATAATGCAACGAGTCAAAGCCGCTTCGAAAGAATATGGAAACTGTTTTTGTCATACCGATGCTGCGCAGTCTATTGGCAAGATGAAAATTGACGTGAAAAAACTCAACGTTGACTATCTCACTATTGTGGGACACAAATTCTATGGGCCAAGAATTGGAGCTCTGTATGTTAACAAACCCGGTGAGTTCAAAAAAGTCATTTCAGGCAAAACTGTCTTGGCCGCTGTAAAATAGAAGCTCTGGTTGTGAAAGCGGGCTCTTTTCCAGTTCCCCCCTTTTGATATTTTCTGAAATTCACTATATGAAAGTCTGTTTTAAACGACTTTTCATATTCTAAACTGTGTTAAAACTTGTAAGCGTGAACAGGTGAACAACTTTGTACAGCATTTTTAATATCCAAAATGCCGTGTGAACAATTTTTGAAGTTTTATTTTGTAATTTTTCGAGGGGGTGGGAAACTGGAAAAGAGCCTGAAAGCGCGTTTCGTAATAAATTGTAAAATAGTTCTCTGTGTCGAGAAAATTATCGTGAAGCAATTGTCTATTTTGCTTTCCACTCAAATTTAGCGAAGTGCACAGACTCTTTTAAGAAGATAAAAAATATATAAAACAAATATGTAATTGATATGTCGTAACAGAAGCAGAACGTAGTTGAATACTACGATACAGCTTTTTTTGAACCGAAGTAGCATATAAAAGTGCTCACTTGGTGGAATTTTTGGTCATAAAAATCTTCGTTTTTGAAAGGTTGCCGATTGTAAAGTTGCTAAGGGCTCAGAATTTTTGATGATTTGTATCCATCTGTACAAAGAAAGTTGCCATTGGTAATAAAGAGTCGATGAACGTAGTTCAGGCTCTTAGTAGAAAAAAACGGTGTAGGTTGGTCACTCTATTCTTTTCTATAACAGACGTTTACCGTTTCTAGGATTTGAATGTTTTTATATCAATTAGTTGGTTGCACGTGATAGTTATTTCAGTTTGACTTTTTCCCGGTTTTGTATTTGTTGTGATTTAATTTTCAGTTTCTTTCCCGGAGTTTTACTGGCATATGAAAAGTTGAAATTGTCTAAGATGATTTTCAAATTATCTTTGCAGTAGCATTAAACACTCTTTATAGGCCGTGATGATTTTTTCATAGTTTTTTCAGGCTAACAGTTTTTTTTCGCGGTTTGACTTTTGATTTTTTTTCAGGCCAGTTTATTTATTTTTTTAAAAGCAGGGCAAACTCCCCTAGCGAACGGCGAAAGTGTAAAGGTCTTGAAAAACGTGATCGACTTTTAATGGATTTTAGTGATCAGATTTCTAATAGATTTCAATTATCAGAGCGAAATATAACTTTTCCGATTGATCGTCGTTTCTCAAATTGGCCTTGTTTTATCAAAAAAAGCCAGTCATGATTTGTTCTAAAACTTCAAAGAGCTTTAAGTCCATCTATTGTTTCTTTAAAATTCGAACGTTGGAAAGTAACTTTTTCTGTGTCCTTGCGTTCATTGACTCTTTTCCAATTGTCTGTTTACTAGATACAGGAAATGTATTAAGAATTTTTTCATGCAGCGGAAAACTTCCAAGAGGCGAAACTTTTGACATTGTTGACATAAATGCCTGTTGTGGAAAAAATACAAATATAAAGCGATTTACACAGATAAGCAAACAAGGGAAGCTTAAGAGAGTCAAAAGCGAAAAGCACTTCATCAAACTAGTTTTTATACTCGTATTCGTTGTATAGATGAAGAAGATAAAGAATAGCTTAAAGCGTCGGAACTTGATTTTTTAAGTACAGTAAAACAAGGGAAAAACCATGTCAATAATTGTTTCAAATTGTAAATTTGCAAATATTCAATTTTGTTTTTCTCAATACTGGAAGAGTTTTCTAAAATGGTGGAACTAGAACATAAATATAATGGGCGAGTTAAATGTTTGCAGGAGAAAAGACGCCCTTGCCTCCTTTATTTTTCGGTGGAAATCAGGAGCGAGGTTTTCGATCAGGGACAGAAAACACGCCAATGATAGTGGGTCTAGGAGCTGCAGCGCGACTTGTGAACGAAAACTTGGAATTATATCGGAATCACATGTATCAAATGAAGATGCTATTACATGACAAACTCGTTGAGATGTTTGAAACTGGATCTGAAAGGCCATGTGTCTTTTTCAATCATCCAAACGTGACTGATCAATCGAATTGCTTAGTCAACACAATTAGCGTCGCATTTTACGATCCCGAGTGGAAAAGTTTCACGGGTTAGCTTTTCAAGTGTTGTAACTTCATCCATTTAATATGAATTTGCTGATGTTGTTGTGCATTTAGCACCCATTAAGATCTTAAAGTATCAAAATTCTGGCGATTGAGGCTATTAACCGTATAGTTCATCAAATTTAGCAGAAAGATTGTTTTTTTTTTTAGTTAATAGAAGATCAGTTCTCCTGATCGTCCATAAACCGTTTTAGTAAATTAAAACATTCATTTTTCTTCTACAATGTAACCAATTTGAATTGTCCGTTTAGCTTCTGCTGTGCTGAACAATCTGTCCAAAGTGGTGGCCAGTGCAGGAGCTGCATGTCACTCTCAGCAACACAATGACTCATCTGCAGTCACCACCCCCTCCAGGGTACTCATCAGTTGTGGAGTGGAGGAACACATTGCACTCAGGTCAGTTTTGACAAGACTGTCGCGTTGTAAAACATCGGTTAGTTTGAACCGGTCGAGTTATAAAGCATCGAATAATTACTGTTTCAATTATTCAAAATATTGTAACGGGACACTGGAGTTTTTTCACAGTGAAATTTTTTTCGCTCAAGAGAAGGTTGATTATTCAACGTGGTAAATCGAAATCATTGACTGATTCTTTCCATCTAGAGCAGAGGTACAACATGCATGGGACAGCAATAAACTGGGTTTCGAGTCCGGATGCCTGTTCTTTACAGAGGTTCTTGTCGGTGGTGCCTGTACTTTTGTTAAAACAAAATTGATTTTAGGATTAAGGTGTATCTGGTCCTTTTTTAGGCTGATTTTCCGCAGCTCAGCATGCTATTTATAACACAGTTTATGGTGGAGGTGATTGAGTTTCAAGAGTTGTGATTCAAAAAAATGTTGATTCTTTTGGCACGTAACCAATTTTGCACAATTTGCAAGAAATCAGTATGTTGAGATATATATTTAATCTTAGCGTAACTTCATTACACATGCAAGCTTACGAGCGTTAGTGTTTTAGTAAGAGCCTTCTTTATTTTCTAACCCAAGTCGCAAATAAAATAATCATTGAAAGTATTCACTTATATGGAAAATTCACCGTAGCATTGGTAATTGAATAGCATCTGTTCTCTGCTTTGTTTGTGGCTAGTGTTCTTGGCCGAGTGTTTTGTGCATGGAAGTCAAAAAGTTATAGGTCGCAGTAGGTCGTAGGTTTGAATCCTTGATGTAGCCGAATTTGAAGGTCAGTCGATGTAGTTTACGAATGATAGATGACGTTTTTTTGCGTGCTTCTTCAGTGGCGTCTTAGGGAGGGAGCTTTGCTAGGTTTTTCTTTGAAATAGTTTTTTTTTCATTTCTAATTGATTACCCTTGATAATTAGCATGGGTTTTGAAACATGGCAGGCTTTCGTTCAAGTTTTGCAGAATAGACGCACCTACACTTGCAAACAAGAAAATAAAATTCTTTTAGAAAAAAACTGAGAAGTTCTTTTCTCTTAATAGATTTGGCTCATGTTGTAGCGGATTGATTTGTTCAGTCTATATTGATTTTCATTCGAATTATGTTAAATTTTTCGGAATACTTTTTTGGCTGAGAAACGGGGAGCGTCTCATCAAATTATTTTCTTATATTTTGTTTCGATAGCTTTTTTGTTTTTGATAAAATTTGTTATTTTTTTTAAAAAACTTGTTGGGTTTATATTCGTTTCTTATTCTGATTCAGTGCTACCTTGAGCTAATTAGAAAAAATTAGATAAATGCAAAACTCTGACTGCTTTTTCCCAAATTAGTTTGACATCATGAAAGTGAGGCGAGGAGAACAAAAATTTGCAAGGAGTTTTGCTTAAATTAAATAAAGCAGCCACAAAGAAGCGAAGAGTGTTTCTTTTCCTATTTTAGTTTTAAATTAATGATAAATGAACGTGTTTCCCAATCAACGGATTAATCTCCCAATTGTTTCATCGGTCTGAGGATGTTGAATTTTATCGATTAAGAGTAATGAACGTACTTATATAGATTTTTTTTGTTTTTTTTTAGAAGTCTTAAAATGCTTTAATACCTACAGATGTGCCTTCATACTTATTAGTTCATCCATGAGTACTTTTAGCTGTAATGCAATTTTTCAGTTCAAATGAACTATTTCTACTCACAGTTAGATGATTCTGTGCTCCAATTAAGAACTTAGAAATGGCGCGAATAAACGTGAGCGACTTCTACTTTTGAAAAACGACTTTAATTTTTAGATTTCCCAGGCTATGCATTTTTACTTTAAAAATCGAAAATTGATGTTTTTCCAAAAATAACTATTTTTTTCTTGTCTTCATTGACTCTTTTCCAACTGTCTGTTGGCTATGTTTATTTTTGATATTTTTACTCAATTGGTTTCTCTTTTGCGAGCTTGGCATGCTGTGTTAGTAACAAATCGCATGTGGTGCAAAGCATGTGCTCTTTGTTGGGAAATGTATTTTCCGCTTTACCTTCGTGTAATAATATAAATTTGATTTCAACGACAAAAATTATTTTCTCATTTTTTTTGCGTTTACAAGCGAGCGATCGCAATGAGATGATATGGCAAGTACAGGAATTTTGCTCTGGAATTTCGGTGCGTTCGTAAAGTGTTTTGAGGGTCAAAAGATAGATTTTGACTGTTCACGCTAAAATGGCACCATTGTTACAACAACCTCGGTAAATGGAAACTTTTTTGCAAAAAATTATCTGGTTGGAAGGCTGTGACAAATAAATTGCAGTATTTGAGACAGCATGCGTTGTCGTCTCACAGTTAGTGTAAATTGGCAGAAACGTTTAAGACTTAGACCAAAAAAGAATACTTTAAAATAATACCAAAGGAGGGTTTTGGTAATCAGACCTGAGGAGTGGACAGTTGCCTGCCCTCATCCAAACTCTATTCACATGGTACTGGAAGAGTGGTACTGGATCAATTGACTATCTGAAAGTCAGGAAGGCTAGCATATTTCACTCAATCATGCAGTTAAAGGTGTGAAGTCATTCAGCAAGCTATTATTGAAAAAGGGCTAGATGTCATTGCTTTTGTGCATCTGAGTTAATGCATTCCAAAGCTGACATTTGATACTTCGGTTCAAAATAGGAACATAAATTGTGCAGCATATTTTTGAGCGCATTTCATCGATTACAAATAATTTTTGTTCTCAGAATGGTTTCGATTATATTTACTGATTTTTGATTTGAACAATTTGGCCTATTTTTGCATCTGATTCGCTTCCTCATTGTCTGATATCTTTTTTTTTTGATCATCTACATAAATAAACAGTTTTGAGATGCACACAAATAGCATAGCGTTCCATTTTTTGTATGATTGAAATCCGTAATGATCCTTTCTATGATTTTACGCATTTTTTAAAATAAAAAACAGAAAATTGTAAAAATATTACGACAAATCGAGGAAGCACGCATCAAAACTGACAAATTGACGAATCAAAACTCCGATTTGGCTGTGGAGAAATATGCAATTTGCAAATGCTCAGAAAAGGTCAAAAAATACTAAATTAGTAACCAATTATATTCAATTTTAAACATTTGAGTGAGTGAGAAATGCGTTTAGTCTGTTGAGGAAGCATAAAAACTCAAAGGTTCCGGGCTAAGTTAACATCCGCTTCGCCCTCCCGCAAGGCTTTTAGGTGGAAGGATGTTTACTTGGTATGAGTTCGAATTTATGAATTCGAGTTATGAATTATGAGTTCGAGTTAACTTCATCCAAGGTTCCAATGATCTTGGAGTTGAATTAATTCTTTGTTCCAGGACCATCAGGCTTTCCGTGGGCAGACAGACCACAGCTGCAGATATTGAAGAAGCGGTGGTGCAATTGTACTCTGCAGTCAGCATGGCCGCCCAGACCAAAATTTGAGATCGAATTGAAGTCAAGCATTTGATGTCTTCGATGACAATATCAAGTGGTTCCCTATGCAATTGATTTCTTATAAAAATTCCATTTTGGTTGGGGCGCTTTAATTATACCCTGATTGACCAAGTGATGTGTCACCATAAATGCTTGCAATGTATGGCTACTATGGTATCATGCATGACGCGACATATGGTTACCATTGAACATATATGCCGCGACGTATGGCTACCAAGGAACCATATAAAGCGCGACGTATAAAAACTGAGAAATCTAATAAATTCAATATTATCGTTGGCTTCCAATAACTGCTCTGACGACTTCTAAGATGTTGGTCGTAAAATTGTTTTTCCGCCATTCAGAGAAAAATTCCCAAGCAAGGCAAACTGTTAGCCGATGTAGAGAAATTTAAGTGATAATGTAGACAAGTTTTCCTTGATTACGCGGTAAAACATTATGTAAATTATTAAATTATGTAACAAACTTTTTGATCACTATGATAAACACAGGCGAAGCGGAACTTCTTATCACTTACGAGCTTTCTCAAATTGGTTTTTTTTTTAAATCAAAAAGCACTCATAAACCAACAAAACAATCATTAATTGTTGGTGAAAATCAAAAATCATTAAGGGCATGCATTTTTCTTTAAGCTGCGGAGGTTGAAATTTTTTTTTCAAAACAGAAGTAACTTGTTTGCTGTTTCTTTGTGTTCATTACTCTTTTTCATCTTTAAGTTGGCTATATTTACTCTGACAGAAAGTATAGAATAAGTTGCTCGTGGTGTTTTTGTGCAGACAAGTTTTCAGAAAGAACTTCTCGGGGGTTCGATCCATGGATATAATTGAAGTCTTTCAGTAGTAGATTTGAGAAAATGGTTCAGTGATTGTGTTGGACTAAATGTTAACCAGATAAAATTTCTTATTTTAAAAAATAGAATCAGACAGGATTTGAACCACTAGCCCTTGTCGTCATAAGTATGTGTGTTATCCCTACGCGAGATCTACTGGGTTGTTGATAAACTTTGAATTGAATCTGAAGCAAGATGAAACACCTACGAAATTATTTTCTGAAACAATTTTCTACATTCTTGCATGTCGCTTAGTTAATTAAAGTTAAGAGCGCATGAAAAAACCCGAATTTCGTTGTAAACTGTAGAATATGTGATTCTACCTAAACTCATATAGCCGGAAAACGCAGTTTGTATTTAAATACAATCCGATTATATACATATTGCAGAGTAATATTTACATCAATAGATCGATAAATTCGGAGGCCAGGTCAACGAAGGACCCGACCTCGCCAATGTCGTCCTTTAATTCCTTTTGTTCTGAACCAAGGTTTTTCGCCCATGTCTTCAACTGGCATATCAGTTTCCGGGCGACAGGGCTTCCTGGGTTTAACGACGTGAGTTCCTCTTGCCTATTCCGTAGGAATGTAATCTTCAGTGGAAACACATCGAAGTCCCACTGACGTCTCCTAGGTAGGCCGCCGCGCGAATCGTGAGTACCCGAAGGGGGAAGTCATTTTTCTCCGGCCGTTCGAACCAGAAGAAGGGGTCAGTCTTAGGCCACAACCCTTCGAAATTCAGGACCCAAATTTGCTTGTAGGGCATGTTGATATTCGATCGAAATTGATTCTAAATAGGACAGAAAGGGGTTGCTTTTAAGTTTAGTGAAAAGAGGGGCTAAAAATACAGGTTACAAAATATTCAAAACAAATTCTTGAAAGTTTATACCGAAAGATTACTCACGTTTTACAGCAATTGAAGTAAGCGGCGATTCAGCTTAGAATGATTCGCACAGCCCAAAATTAAACGTCCCATAAGCTAGTAATTATTTGTAGTAAATATTTGTCAGAGTTGAACATCTTTGTCAGAGTTGAACATACAATCTGAGGAAAGCAGTGGCAGAAAGTCTTCATATAGATGAATCAGCTGAGTCCTTTAACTGGGTTCTTTTGTGCGAATTTAATTTTATCGGCAACACTTTTTGCATACGAGTTTTATGTATATCTGTCGTTCTGCTTCTAAATGACATGTTCGGTAATTTTGTATTTTCTTCGTCTGCTTGAGTTTTAAACAGACATACATTGCAGTGAAATACCTTAAACTGAATCATGTTAAGGAAGCGTGAACTTGCAAAGCAGTCACGAGATAACACGTTTGAATATTCAAAACTATGAAAATCTACTCTGCATGGAAATCTTTTCATTCTTTCTCTGAAGTCTGGAAAGGAAATTGACCAGTGTGGCTTGTTGTTTTCAAATCATGGAACGGCTGGAACAATTTTAAGGACCATGGATTGTTTTAATGGAGGGAAATTAGCAGTCGCCAGATAAATCAGCCACCTCTGTCTATTGTCTGGCTTGGAAACCCTAACCCCTACAGAATTGAAATTAAACAGGCGATCAATTGTTTTCTCGGTTGATCAAAATAATATGGAGTTTTATCCCAGTCTTGTCATAGAGTTTCGTTCGAGCTGAAAACGTTTTGGTCGAGCAAGGTATTTGAGCGAAGAGAAAGGAAAACCAAGCGAAGTATACAACCAAGGAGTATTAATTTTACAAATTACAAGAGTAAAAGAAAAGCAATTACATCTGCGATGAGAGTTGCTAACTGCACATAATATAAGCTTTTCCCGACGATTGGCATAACGTGTGTTTCGCGTGTATCTTTCTGAAGCGGCAAAGTATTTATTTTGACATTAAATTTATTTTACACAAGATAATTTGACGATTCGAACAGCATTGCCGAAAACACCCAAAGTGGTTCAAAATATCTTGCTTGTTCACAGAGATGACTGATGGAATGCAAATTAGCTGAGAAAGCAGTCTTGGTATACGCTGTTTTTGTCTTACCAATGTAAGGTTGTTATCACAATTTTCTGTTGACATCATAAGAAGGCAAAAAGAGTAGCTGAACATCAAGTAGCGAACATAAAGATCTCTGTCTATAATTCCCTTGAATTAACAGGTCCAATATAAAGAAATGAAATTTCGTCTTTGAAATATTCAAATCAATTCAATTTGTTGACAGGCCATGTTGTTTTTTTCGTCAGTTGAAAAAAAATCTGATGATTGACTGTTGTTGACATTAGTTTTCAATTAAACTGTTACTTTTTTAAAAGTTGGCTTTCAAAATTTTACGAACACGAGCTATGAAAAATACTTGGCTTCATTCCATCGGTGTTACTTTAAACTCTCACCAGGCTGGCTTTTTGCCATTTTCGAGAATATTATTTGAAGTAAAATTTTTGTAATAACCAGGTAAACTTGATGCTTACAATCTGAGGATAGCAGTGGCAGAAAATCTTCATATAGATGAGTCAGCTGAGTCCTTGAACTGGATTCTTAGTGCGAATTTAGTTTTATCGCCAACACTTTTTGGATATGAGCTTTATGTATTTCTGTCGTTCTGCTTCTAAATGATAAGTTTGGTAATTTTGGACTTTCTTCGTCTGCTTGAAATTAAAACAGCCATACATTGCAGTGATTTATCTTGACCTGAATCATATTAAGGAAGCGCGAACTTGCAAATCAGTAACGAGCAAAACACATTTGAATATTCAAAACTATGAAAATCTGCTCTGCATGGAAATCTTTTCATTCTTTCTTCGAAGTCTGGAAGCGAAATTGACCAGTGTGGCTTGTTGTTTCCAAACCATGGAACGGCAGGAACAAAGGACCATGAATTGTTTTAATGGAGGCAAATTAGCAATCGCCAGACAAATCAGCCACCTCTGTCTATTGTCTCGCTTGGAAACCTTTACTCCATCAGAATTGAAATTAAACAGGCGATCAATTGTTTTCTCGGATGATCAAAACATTATGGAGTTTTATCCCAGTCATGTCATAGGGTTTCGTTCGAGCTGAAAACGTTTGGGTCGAGCAAGGTATTTGAGCGAAGAGAAAGGTAAACCAAGCGAAGTATACAACCAAGGAGTATTAATTTTACAAATTACAAGAGTTAAAGAAAAGCAATTACATCTACGATGAGAGTTGCTAACAGCACATAATATAAGCTTTTCCCGGCTATTGGCATAACGTGTGTTTCGCGTGTATCTTTCTGAAGCGGCAAAGTATTTATTTTGACATTAAATTTATTTTACAGAAGATAATTTGACGATTCGAACAGCATTGCCGAAAACACCCAAAGTGGTTCAAAATATCTTGCTTGTTCACAGAGATGACCGATGGAATGCAAATTAGCTGAGAAAGCAGTCTTGGTATACGCTGTTTTTGTCTTATCGATGTAAGGTTGTTATCACAATTTTCTGTTGACATCATAAGAAGGCAAAAAGAGGAGCTGAACATCAAGTAGCGAACATAAAGATCTCCGTCTATAATTCCCTCGAATTAACAGGTCCAATATAAATAAATGAAACTTCGTCTTTGAAATATTCAAATCAATTCAATTTGTTGACAGGCCATGTTGTTTTTTTCGTCAGTTGAAAAAAAATCTGATGATTGACTGTTGTTGACATTAATTTTCAATTAAACTGTTACTTTTTTTAGAAGTTGGCTTTGAAAATTTTACAAACACGAGCTATGAAAAATACTTAGCTTCATTCCATCGGTGTTACTTTAAACTCTCACCAGGCTGGTTTTTTGCCATTTTCGAGAAAATTATTCGAAGTAAAATTTTTGTAATAACCAGGTAAACTTGATGCTTACAATCTGAGGGTAGCAGTGGCAGAAAATCTTCATATAGATGAGTCATCTGAGTCCTTGAGCTGGATTCTTAGTGCGAATTTAGTTTTATCGCCAACACTTTTTGGATATGAGCTTTATGTATTTCTGTCGTTCTGCTTCTAAATGATAAGTTCGGTAATTTTGGACTTTCTTCGTCTGCTTGAGTTTGAAACAGACATACATTGCAGTGATTTATCTTGACCTAATCATATTAAGAAAGCGAGAACTTGCAAATCAGTAACGAGCAAAACACGTTTGAATATTCAAAACTATGAAAATCTGCTCTGCATAGAAATCTTTTCATTCTTTCTTCGAAGTCTGGAAGCGAAATTGACCAGTGTGGCTTGTTGTTTCCAAACCATGGAACGGCAGGAACAATATAAAGGATC